TAAAGTGATCCATAAATATGGTCAAAATCCGGTGTTATCAACCGTTGAGGATCTATGTCAAGTCAAGTCCTCAGGTGTACTTGTGCATCCTTGTCTGGTGTGGGAACAGTGCTTTCTGGTCAATCAAGGGTGTGAAAGCTCATTGGCTAAGGGTATGCTGCATTCTTGAGCTCTCAGGTTGATTTCTCTTAAAGGTTTCTCGTACTCGTTATTCAGATTTTGATGCAGTGACCTTTCCCCCAGTGCAGCTCTCACAGACCACTTATATGATTATTTGGTATGTGTTACACAGTCGAGTGGTATGTATTTTCTCCTTAGCTCGCATGGGGACCTTGATCCATTTTTCTCCAAGTGTTTGTGATGGGCGCATATGTGCTGTATTAAAATGTGATGTTGGGCCCGTGGTATGTTTTTTTCTTGTTGGGCTTATGGCCTAGTTATCGCTACAGAGACTAGGGTTTTTGGTGAGTGTTTCATTGTCTTAGTTACACAGCTGTTGCTGTGTTTAGGTTGGGTAGATTAAGAATTGGTCAGTTGTAGTTGCAAGGTCGTGTAATTATGATTAGCTAGATCTAAGGGATTGTCTAAGTGATTCTTAATAAAAGGCAATAGTGTTTTAGCACTTCTGTGTGTTCTACTCTTAGTCTCCGTGAAATACACAAGTGACATCGGTGACTTGGTTCTTCTATGTTGGTGTTCATTCCAATTTGTGAAAACAACATCTTTGCATTCTTAAGGGATTTTTAGGATTTGGGTATCGGCGCTGTTGGTTGAGGCTTCTATTCATTAGACTTTCTCACCAAAGGCGGTTATTTGCGTGGGAAACAATTTCTTTGGCCACAACCATGGAGGAGAGTGCTTTTAGAAAATTATCAAGAATGGGATCATGGAAATTCTTTAAAGAAAGAGAAAACTATAATCATAATCTGGAAACGATGTTTGAATTTAAAGATCAAAGTCAATATATTTAACAAAGACACTGATACAGAAACATTGGTATCAGATTATCGAAAGTTTGGAACTATTATCGAAAGCATAAGGTTTTTTATGTGGTATGCAATTCAAAAGTTTAGCCGAGAGATGCTACTGGTACACATGTTTTCACATCAGATAAAGCTCAATTACAGATAAAAAAATAACAGATTTCATATTTCCTTAACGACTTTTATCTTATTCACTATTTGGAAAGCATCATATTTCACTATATGGCGCACATATCTGCTTATGACTTTATGTAATATTTTTGTGAAATTTTTATATTACTTTGTAATCCAAATTTGAAATAAATGAAACTGTTACTGCTAAAAAAAATTATTTTTAATATTAATTTTATTTTATTCTTATTTAATATTTTTCATTTTAAAATATAATTAAATTTTAAAATTGATAACTCAATAATTAAATTAAAAATTAATGCCTGACTCGTTGTCTCGCCTATAATCAATGATGAGGAAATTAGATTCCAGATTAGGTTCAAATCAAATGAAGTAGAATATCTTGTTAGAAAGAATTGCCATGAGAGTTAGCATTGCAAGTACTCTAGCTACCTCCTAGTCTAGTCTTAAATCACAAAAAAGCTGACATGAAAAATAGCATAAAAGCATACTAGCCAAAATCAACGTAGTTTTGTCTCAAACATTCCTAAAAATACTTAAAGGTCTAAGGTTACAAGAATTTAAAAAGAAAAATAGAAGAAAATGTAAGAAAATAAGATAAAAAAAAAATTCAGTAACGAGATAAACATCTTCACCCAAACTTAAATCACACTGTCCTCAGTGTAAAAAAAATGGTGAAAGGAAAAAAATAGATGCAATAAAAAGATAAAGAAAAATAGCTTTCAATAATATATAACAAAAAAACAAAATGTCAATAGACCCGTGTTTATGAGGGTGTGGTTATGATGAACGACTGCTATCGATCTCTGTTGCAGACGAGTCTTCATCGAACTGGTGGTTCTTCTAAAGGAAGTGTATCCTGCGTTGGTGTCGGAGTCACGTATGTGTGATGAACTAGCATGAGCAGATGGTGCACAGATAGTGCTGGTGCAGACTGGAGTCTGAGGCGTGGTGTACCTGCTTCTCTCTTGGCCTTGCCAACTAAGTACTTGCCAACAATGTATGGTAAAAGGGGGACAGATGGTTTGAAGATGATTTGGTACTAACCTGAGTTAGAGAAGTACTTGTACCCAAATCCATCTGGGTCAATTCTCGCGCTTGAGATGGTGCGCCCCCAGGAAAACTGAGATAAGTCAAACCAGTCTTCAGGAAGAGGAGCTTTGGTCGACAGATCTACTCCAGCGACATGCATGATTGCAGTATTGATACTCCCAAAAGCTAGTGAAGGGTCTTGGCATTCTGAAGTAAGGGTCTTCTGCTTCACCTTCACTAAGTTCTTCCCAATAATGCATGCAAAGCAAGCAAATCGAGGATGATATGGGTATGGTAGCTGAAGAGTGACAAGCTCGGGCCTGAGAACATTCGCTAGAATGGTCCTTGAGAAGATTGTGTGTGCCAAGGGCTTATGCACAAAACATATTGCAGGGTGAGTGAGGAGAGAAGATTTGGACTTTCTCTTGTCATAAACTCCTTGTCCCATGAACCCACACAAATCTTCCTCAGTATCTTTCACGAGATTGATCTCATCGAGATAAGACAGCTACATAGCTTCACAAAGCTCGGAATTGTGAGTGTTAAATGAGGATGTCCTTAAATAGAGAAAGAAAGTGTACCATCCAAAGCTCTCGGGTTAGCCTTATTCTTGTAGCACATAGTGACTGATGCTAAAAACTCCCGAGTAAGATCTTAATATGCAGGGTATTAAACTCCATCAATGGTCGAAGTCAGAGTAAATCGAGATACCAGATCACATCTTCTCTAATCCCAAGTGTCTCAAGAATATAGTAATCTATGCCAGGCATTGGTTTGATGCTAAAGTTTTTGAGCATCTCTCTGTAGTTGATGCTTGGGTTCATGGGTTGTCATAACAAAAAAAAACACCCAGATTTCGACAGCCATTTGTATTCCATCGAAAATGACTATTTCTTATAGATTAGCGACCAACCAAATATGTCGGTTTGAGCTTGTCGGAAATTAACCATCGATAAATAATCCGTCGGAAATTTTTGACAGAATAAAATTCATCGGAAACTAGTCAAATATATCCGATGGATTATGCACGACATCCTTCCACAAGATTTTATGACAACCGTTTTCATTTTTTCGACCGCTTTCCAACAACTTATACTGTATGGTGATATTTTGATGGATTTCTAACAGATTATTGTCGGAACCTGTTGTTACTAAACCATTGGAATGTCGTTGGAAAGCATCCGTCAGAATTTTGTCGAACATACTCTGTGGATAATATTTTTGATGGATTTTTGACAAATCCATTTCTGACGGATTATTGACGGGCTATTTCCAACGACCTTCCGACGGTTTAAATATCTTAATAAAACAATATAATTTATTAATACTATATTTTTAACTAAAATAATTAATAATTAATTAAAAAATAATTATGTAATAAATCAAAGATCAATTATTTCTTAAAATTTAAATTCCAAAACATAAGTTGTTTAAAAAAAACATTTTGGAATATAAAAAAACCAAAACTATTTAAATATATCCAGAAAGCTCGACTTTATAATTTCTTTCATCTTGGCTAACTCATCTCAGGTCGTGTTGTGAGTGGTCCCCAATCGTTCATGCCGCTGCTCCGTTTTCTCGAGCTTTTTGCCATGTACTTTGACCTCCTGGGTTAGCCATTTGATATAGACTTGGTACATCGGATTCGGGTACTGATAACCGGAAACGGAAGATTCTTAACTCAACGACACGTCCCTTGACTTTCCACGTTTGCTGCGAGAAAATTATAAACTATTAGACGTTGCCTCTTTGGTGGTTCTAGTTCACTGTCCTCATGCTTTGCTAGATACTTCTAAAATATTAGTGTCGTCTGCCTTTACATGAGCCAGTGTCATGAATCTGTCTATATTCAAGAGATGGTTGAAGAAAATCTGAACTTTTCATATAATACAGTTGTTATAATAATAATATGGAGATTTATCTACAATGTTTCACCGCCTCTGTAAAAGTCGGTAACATTATTTTATGTTTTTACTTTGCCTTTAAATAAGCTACTTACCCCTCTTTGTAACATAAGTCACATAAGTGAAAGAAAACTTTCTTCTCTCTTTACGTCTCTCTCCCTCTCATCTCTCTCCTTTCTCCACTTAAAGAAAACTGTATAATGTAATATATATATATATATATTAACACATATATCTTCATCAATATCACATAATATTTAAAATATTATTACCAACTGTTTGTATACCGAAAAAGTGAGGTTTAATTTATGTTTAATCCAGTTACGTTTATGTTTAATTCAAACTGATCGTTATGGAGACTATACCTTAACGATTATGATCATATGGCAGACTATATCTCCTCAGATCAAATATATGGTTAGCTTATGATCATATGGTAGATGTCTCTTCAGATCACTGCCTCCATATAATAAATGTTCGAAGACATTTAAGAAAAGTTTCTGAAGAACTAAGAAACATATGTTATGTCCAAAAAACATAATTGAAAAAAAATATCCCAAAAACATATATGAAAAGAAGTTCCAGAAGAATTATATGAAAAATATATATCAAGAAGATATATAAAAACGTTCCTGAAGAACAACATAATTAATCTCGTCCAGAAGACGAGTATTTATTTTAATTATTTTAATTATTGTTCTTTAAATTCTATTAATTATTGTTAATTATTTTCTGTTTATTATTATTTTAAATTCAGTATTTTAAATTCAGTTTTATTATGTTTACGAATTCTAAAATTTTATCATGTTTTATTAAATCAGAATTTTAAAATTGGATTATAACTAAATTTATAAATTGTTATATTGATTACAGTTATCATGTCGAATTCGAGATTACTACCATTGATATTTCCGGAAGATATTATATGAGATGTGCAGTAGCTGTAAGGATGCATCTAAAAGGAAATCAGTTCCTTGATACCATCGATAAAACAAAAACAACTCCTGAAGTGAAAAGGGCGAGAGCCATTATCTTTTTATTCCACCATATCCACGATGGTTTAAAAGATGAATATATCACGAAAGAAGATCCTGCAGATCTTTGGCAATCACTCCAAGATAGGTTTGATCACCAGAAATATTTGATCTTACCAAAGGCTAGACATGACTGGTTGAACCTCCGGTTTCAAGACTATAAGAGCGTTAGTGAGTATAATTCCGCTTTATTTGGATTCACTTATAGGAAAATGTTATGTGGTGAACAGATAAGTGATCATGATATGATTGAGAAAACGCTCTCAACATTTCATCCGGGAAATGTAGTCCTGGAACAACAGTACCGGGCAAACGGATACAAGAAGTATTCAGAGTTAATGCAAGTTCTATTGCTGGCAGAACAAAATAAGCAGGTCGTGATTTTAAACCATCAAACTCGTCCAACTGGATCAACTCCATTCCCAGAAGTGAAAGTTGCATCGTCAAGCCATGAAAATTGGCAAAGTGGACGTGGACACGGTCGAGGAAATGATCGTGGTCGTGGACGAGGTTTTGGACGTGGCCGAGGACGTGGACGAGGAAGAAGATTCCGTCCTGATGATTTCAACGATGGAAGAAATAACAAAAAGTTCAAGGTAATGAAGTTGGTAGCAAGAAACATGAGAATGCTTGCTACAGATGCGGCAAGAAAGGACATTGGTCATGTATCTGTCGTACGCCAAAACATTTAGCTGATCTGTACCAAGAATCACAAAAGGCGAAAGGAAAAGAAGGTGAAACCAACTTCATCCATAGAGAATCCAGTCTTTCTTTTAATGGTATAAGTGATGATACAAATCTCGATATTTCTGATTTCATGGTTGATCCCGAAGATATCAACGAAAAACAAAACGAGTAAAATATTCCCGAATAAGACGATGTGACATGATGTATACATAGTATGAAAATAAAATATAAAATCTAGTGTTTAAAAATGTATCTTTTGTTGTAAAAAAGGTTTTTATTGTAATATATACTCTTTTGTTTTGCTATATTTATTCATCTTTTATGAATATCTTGAATTCAGAAAATGTCAAAGATTAAGATCGAGGATAGAGATATATGTCTGGCAGACAGTGCTACAACGCACACAATATTAAAGGATAAAAAGTATTTCTCCTCTCTTAAAATAAAAGATTCCGTCAGAAGCATGAATACAATAATTGGTAATGCAAAAATTATTATGGGCTCCGGAAGAGTCAGTTTTTCAATGCCAAGGGGAACAAAATTTGAAGTAAATGATGCGTTATATTCCCCTAGATCTTACAGAAATTAGTTAAATTTTAAAGATATCCGCTGAAATGGATATCACATAGAAACTATGAATAAGAATGGCATTGAATATCTTTGCATTACATCAGTTATTTCGGAGAAAAAAGTTATACTAGAAGTATTACCAGCATTATCAACAGGAGTATATTCCACAAGGATAATATGACTGAATCATATGTTATGGTAAACCCGAAGTTTACAAGTACACTCAAAATCTGGCATGAACAATTATGGCACACTGGTTCAGTCATGATGCGGAAAATTGCAGAAAATTCTAATGGCTATCTGTTGAAAAACCAAAAGATTTTTCAATAGAGAGAATTTATATGTAATACTTGTTCTCAAGAAATACTCATAATCGGGAATGAATCTCCAGTAATACATGGTGATATCTGTGGGCATATTCATCCACCATGCGGGCCATTTCAATATTTTATGGTACAGTAGAACCTCTACAAATTAATACTCGATAAATTAATAATTATTATAAATTGATAAATTTCACTGGTCCCGAGTTGGACCAGTGTAAAAAACCATCAAATTCGATAAGATAATAAGATAATAAATTTTTTGAAATTCCTATGTAAATATATGGTCCCAAAATAAACATAAATTAATAATTATAAAAATCTTTGTGTGTATATATATAAGGTAAGATATAATATAGTAAAATATGATTAATGTGTTGTTTTTTTTTATTTAAGTTTGAAATTTTATTGAAAATCATAAACTTTTAATGTTATTTTTCTTAAATTCCATTTAAAATTTTGAAAAAAAATTAGATGTGATAATTGATTTTCTTACACGTAACTATTACAAAATATATTATAGTATTGACTTCAATTTTAGCACATTAAAGATAATAGCTATATTTTTTTCTAAATTTTGTACTAACAAACATTTATATTCTTACATAGATAATTCAGTTCACAATTAACAAATAGAAACAACTATTCTATTGCGATTGTTATGATTAGTAATCATAATTTTAAGTTTGTGCATGTGATTTTATAAGCATATGAGTTTACGTTCTTAAATAGAACATCATTTGAAAGAAAATTTAAGAAGAAAATTGGCAAAAATTGAATTTTTTAAATAAATTAATATCACGATAAATTAATAAAATATCATGATCCGACATTATTAATTTATAGAGGTTTTACTGTATTAATTGACACATCCAGTAGATGGTCACATATATGTTTATTGACAACAAGAAATACGGCTTTCACAATTTTCATTGCCCAAATAATCAGGTTGAGAGCACAGTTCCCTGATTATACGATAAAGAAAGTAAGGCTTGATAACGCTGGTGAATTCACTTCTCAAACTTTTAATGATTATTGTATGTCAATGGGAATTGATGTTGAACATCCTGTTGCCCATCTTCACACACAAAATGGCATGGCTAAGTCATTGATTAAACGGTTACAACTCATTGCTAGACCATTAATATTGAGAACAAAGCTCTAAATTTCAGTATGGGGTCATGCTATCTTGCATGCAGCGGCATTGCTTCAGATAAGACCGAGTTTGTCTAATAAATATTCCCCAATACAATTAGTATCTGGCCAGGAGCCAAATGTATCCCACCTGCTTGTTTTCGGCTGTGCGGTTTATGTTCCGATAGCCACGCCACAAAAATTAAAAAATGGGGCCGCAAAGAAGATTGAGAATATATATCGGTTATACGTCACCAAGTATAATTAGGTATATTGAACCGCAAACTTGTGATATGTTTACGGCACATTTTTCCGATTGCCATTTTAATGAAGATGATTTCCAGCGTTGGGAGGGGGGGGGAATTAAAGAAGTTCCAAAAGATGTTACATGATGCACACCATCCTTGTTGCACCTTGATCCTCCTACGAAACAACGTGAACTCGAACTTTAGAAAATATTCCATTTACAAAATATGGCAAATGAATTACCAGATGCTTTCACAGATACGAAAAGGGTGACAAAGTCATATATATCCGCTGCAAATGTTCCATCAAGAATCAATGTTCCAGAAGAACAAAATGATGGAAAATAGCATACGAACCCAAAGTTCAGTTGAAGAGGGGAAGGTCGATTGGCTCAAAGGATACAAATATCCGAAAGAAAAAGAAATTGGGAAAAAAATGAAAATGGTCCAGAATAACAACATACAGAGAAATGTCCTGAAGACGAAAATGACGAAGAAAAACATGAAATTTCCATTAATTACGCCGACGATGGAATATTATGGGCTAGAGATGAAATAGAAGAAAATGATAGAATATTCTCAATTCTCTGTATGCAAAGAAATTGAATAAGAAATTGATGATCCAGATCCAAGGTCCATATTGGAATGCCAGGAAAGATCTGATTGGGAGAAGTGGAATATGGCTATAGTAACGGAATTGATAAAAGAAAAGTTTTTGGACCTATTGTCACAACACCTAAAGATGTACAGCCGGTTGGGTACAAATGGGTTTTTATGAGAAAAGAAATGAGAAAAATGAGGTGACAAGATATAAAGCCCGACTTGTCGCTCAACAATTTTCTCAAAGACCGAGAATTGATTATGACGAAACATATTCTCCGGTTATGGATGCCATTACATTTAGATATTTGATGAGTCTTGCGGCATCTAAGAATCTAGAAATGTATATAATGGATGTTGTGACAGCCTATTTATATGGATCACTTGATAATGATATCTATATGAAAATCCTAGAAGGAGTGAAAATGCCTGAAGCATTAAGTTCCAAATCAAAAGAAATATATTCGGTCAAATTACAGCGATCACTTTACGGATTAAAACAATCCGGACACATGTGGTATAATCGCTTAAGCGAATATTTACTAAAAAAAGATATGTAGATAATGTAATTTTCCCTTGCATCTTTATTAAGAAATCTTCGTCAGGATTCGTGATCATTGCTGTTTCTGTGGATGACCTAAACATTATTGGAACTCAAAAAGAGATTGATGATGCAAGAACTCATATGAAAGACGAATTTGAAATGAAAGATCTCGGAAAGACAAAGTTTTTTCTTGGATTACAAATAGAGCATTCCCGATGGTATATTCGTACATCAATCAAATTATACTAAAAGGATATTAAAACGCTTTTGTATGGATAAAGCGATTCCTTTGAGTACTCCAATGGTTAATCGATCTCTCGATACGGAAAAAAATCCGTTTTGGCCTTGTGTAGATAACGAAGAAATATTAGGTCATGAAGTACCTTATATGAGCGCTATTGGTGGACTTATGTATCTTGCGAATTGTACCCGACTGGATATAGAATTTGCTACAAATTTACTTGCAAGATATAGTTCGTCCCCTACGCGTAGATATTGGAATGGAATAAAACATATTTTCCGTTATCTTCAAGGAACAATTGACTTGGGATTATTTTATCCTAGAAACTCCAAACTTGGTTTAGTCGGTTTTGCAGATGCAGGCTATTTATCAGATCCTCATAAAGTTCGGTCGAAAACCAGATATGTTTTAACGTTTGGAGGAACCGCAATCTTTTGGCGTTCTCAAAAGCAAACATTAGTCGCCACTTCCTCAAATTATGCAGAAACTATTGCGTTTCATGAGGCATGTAGAGAATGGTTTAGCTCAGATTTATGACTTATCATATACAAGAAGCAAGCGGAATAGTCATCAACAAAGAGCCGACAAAATTGTTCGAGTATAATGCTGCATGTGTCGCTCAACTAAAAGAAGGCTACATTAAGAGTGATAGAACGAAATATATTCCTCCAAGATTTTTCTCTTATACTCAAGAGCTCGAGAAAAATCAAGAAGTCAATATCCAGTATATTCGTTCAAGTAACAATGCGGCAGACCTCTTTACAAAGGTGCTTCCTACTATAATATTCAGAAAGCATATTCAAAGTATCGGAATGCGTTATTTGCGGGATTTATGAAGAAAACATTATATCCATCAGTTTAGAAGGAAATTGCATTACTGTACTCTTTTTTCTTTATCATGGTTTTTATTCTATTAGGTTTTTCCATGATAAAAATTTTAACAAACCAAATCGTAATTTATAAACATTAATAAATAATTAAGGGAAAGTATTATAATAATAATATGGAGATAATTATCTACAATGTTTCACCGCTTCTGTAAAAGTGATAACATTATTTTATGTTTTTACTTTGCTTATAAATAAGCTACTTACCCCTCTTTGTAACTTAATTCACATAAGTGAAAGAAAACTTTCTTCTCTCTTTACGTCTTCTTTCCCTCTCATCTCTCTCCTTTCTCCACTTAAAGAAATCTGTATAATATAATATATTTATATATATAAACACATATATCTTCACCAATATCATATAATATCTAAAAACAGTTTATTTATAACCTTTTTTTTTAATAATATGTTAAATTATATTCAAGAAAAAATAGACTTTTTACAGGATCCAGTTTTTGTGAATCAGAAAAAAAAAACAAAAAACAGAGCTTTTAATTGTAAAACAGAGCTTTTTTCCAATCTAAGGACTTTTTCTTGTTGCAAACCATGTTTGCAATCCGTCGTCATACTTGCATCTGCCTATGCTTTGTCTCATCGTTGTTAGTCTGTTTCAGACCATTACATCGATTTTTTTTGCATACCACAGCTGCAGGGTTAGGTACTTCTCCATGGCGCCTGTTGTTTCTCTCTCTCCATATTGTATGGATCGTTGCTTAGAAAGTATATTGCAGAAGAAAACTTTTTGTTCTGGTGGTCCTCTGGTGGATGATTTGGTCTAGCACCTCTGCCCAATTTTTGGTGAAGTCAGGTTCCATGACACCTCCCATTAATGTCTCCCATATTTCCCCTGTGTATGAGCATTCAAAAAACAGATGTTCTCGACTTTCTACTGGTTCGCTGCAGAAGGAGCAACCTGTGTTTACGTTGATGTTCCATTTCGCCATACGTTCACCCGTCGCAAGCCTGTTTTTTGCTGCCAGCCATGTAATAAATGCGAATTTGGGAGTAGCTGAAGGAAACCAAATGCCTTTGTGGGTATTCCATTGAGCTTTTGGTGTCCTTATGAGCTCCCATGTTGCTTTCGAACTGAAGTCTGTTTTGAAAGTCCCATCTGTTACCCGCCACATTGGGATATCTGTCTCCTCGTGATCACGTGTGTCCCCTTTTTGGCTCGTATTTCCTCCTCTATTTGCTGTAGAAGGGTGTTACGATGCCTCCTTCTCCTTGTACCCTCCATAGCACTTCCAAGTGTGGCGTTTATGGAGATACCCAAATCGATGCAGCCTCTGAACCCAAAAACCTCAAACAGACAACCCTTTGTGCTCCAGTTGTCGTACCAAAAAGCTGTGTGATAACCGTTTCGAACCTCAACTCGATACAGACCCTTTGCCATCTCCCGATACTTCAAGATCTTTTGCCATATCCATGACCCTAAACTGGTTGTGTCTTTCACCGCCCAGAAGGTAGTTTGCTTGATCAGATGCTTGTGTATCCAACTGACCCACAGAGAGTCTCTGGACGAAAGAATCCGCCAGATAAGTTTTAACACACATACCTTGTTCACTTCGTCTAAAGGTTTCAGATCCAACCCTCCTTCCTTTTTTGGTGAGCATACAATATCCCATGCAACTTTAGCCTTTTGTCCGTTGAGCTCTTGTCCAGACCATAAAAATCCTGCACATATCTTATCGATTTCTCGTATACAGGCCTTGGGAAGACGGAAAGCGGCCATCCAGTAATTGATTAGACTATAAAATACTGAGCGAATTAACTGCAAGCGATCCCCAAATAAGAGGGCTCTCGCAGTCCATGTGTTTATCTTCAGCTGAATTTTTTCCAGCAGAGGTATGTAATCCGTTTTTGTCATCTTCCTTGTCGTCAAAGGTAGTCCTAAGTAGCGAACAGGTAACACTCCTTGTTCGAAAGGGAATTCAGAAAGGATGTCCTCTCGAACTGCAGCTGTGATCCCTGCCATATAAACCGTGGACTTTTCAATGCTGATGCGGAGACCAGAGTGTTTAGCAAAATCATCAAATACCGCTAGAGCTTCTACAATGGAGTTCTTTTCCCCTTCCACAAACACCAACAGATCATCAGCAAAACACAGGTGTGTAAGAGCTAATGGAGCACACTCAGGGTGATAACCAATTCTTTTATCCAAAGCTGCCTTGTCAAGTCTTTTGGATTACACGTTCATACATATCACAAAGAGATATGGGGACAGAGAACAGCCTTGTCTCAGGCCTCTAGAGCTTCCAAAATAACCTGCCAACTCACCGTTTAGCTGAACTGAGAAAGAGGCTGAAGATATGCAGAGATGAATCCAGTGTATGTATTCATCTGGAAAATCCATTTTAATGTAGCGGTTGCAAAATTTTCCAAAAAATAAAAAGATAATTTTTGTTTTGCTTACATCTATATTTGTGTATTGAGGAGATTGCTGACACTTTCTGATGTTTTTCTTGAAAAGGTATGATGGATCTATTTTAATACGGATTTCCTGCGGTCTTTCTAAAAACACTGTTTTGGTGTTTGGAAAGTTGTTCAAATCAACCATAAACATGTTTTAATGTTTATTATATATATAGTACATGCTAAAGTTTCAGAAAAACTTAATAAAAATGGATTTCTAAATTTCTTGAGTTTTGGAAGATTGTGTTAGTATAAGTATAAGAAAAAGTATAGGATTTAGATGTTAAGTGGAAAAGTTGTTTTTAAAAAATATGAAATCATTAGCTGATTAAGATGTTGGTTATTTTGCATCTTTTGTAGATATGAAATGGAGATGTAAACCTTTTTTAATTTTCTAAATCATAAACCTTAAATATACACAAAAGTACTATAGCCGTCGAAAATCCATCGAAAATGACTATGTCCGTCACAAAAGCGTTAGAAATTACAGACAGATTTCTGACGGATATTTTAGAAACATGGTTTTTGGGTTGGAAATATGGGTTTTAAGTTGGATATTTTATTCAAAGTAACCATAAATATGTTTTTTTAGTGTTTGGAATATATTTTACATGCTAAAGTTTCAAAAAAAATCTTAACGGAAAAGTATAAAAATATTTGTGATAAGAGAATAAAACATGTTTAAAAAAAATAGTGTTAAGGCATATTTTAAAAAAAATTACATTTGTTTTAAACCAATCATTGAAACATACAACTATCCGTATCCGAAGAAGAATGATCTGACGCCACTGAATCCGGTTCTTCAAAAAATTCATCAAAATCTTCTTCAGAATCTTCAAATACCCGATCGTCTGCATCTACTGTCAAATCAACAACAAGGTTGACCTCAAGAGAATGTTCGATGGAGCCTAAACCTCCTGAACTTTGTTGAAGGGGTTTGTGTCCAAAATCCCCTGAATCGTACCCCTTTGGACAAGATCACAGTAATCCACCGGTCTTGCTTGTTTGTCACACGAGGAAAGAGAATATAGCATACCTACACAATGTCATATAAAATTTTAGTGGCTCAAAATTTATATAAATAAATGTTAAATTCGAATCAGCAAAAGTAAAAATGTTTAAACGAACCTGGTCTTCTTGTGAAGCAAGTATAAATAGATCGTATTTCTAGAATTGTGTACTCCTCGGTATTGATGTAACCCCAAATTAACCGTGTCCCACACCGCTTCCAGGTAATTGGTCATACCAGTCACATAAAAATGTGACGCATCTCAAACCTAGTATTCTCGGATATTGAACATCTAAAATCATACGTAGAACACCATAGTATACAATATCACCAGCCTGAGTAGATACATCACAATCTAAAGAGGAAAGTGGCTAGTGAGTTCTTGATCAGCGAGAACTGGTACCGATTAATACCTGAGAATCTTAGTGTGAAAATAAGTACCTCAACTCCCTAAAATTTAATTATCTGAACCTGAACAAATTTTGTTTTGCCAAATTAAACCTAGAGGCTTGGTTGTTCTTTCCATGCTTGGTGATGACGTTTTAGTGAGTTTGGCTTGGACACAAACTTCACATTTGTATTTGCTTATTTTGTATTTTGGAATAAGATTCATGTTCATCAATGTACTCACAGACTTGAATTGACATGTCCTAAATGTTTGTGCCAAAAGTTGAAAGACTCAGACAAATAAGCAACTGGTTTCTTGTTATTCATCTTAGGGTTCTTTGAGGTAGAAGCCTTGGTTACGTTGTTTTTACGAATCACTGCCTCAGTGGACATCTTAAGCAACCAATCATAAACATAACCCTTTCCCAAAAACATCTTATTCTTCATTAGTATCAGCGTATCACCTTCCAGCTTGATGCTGCATCCATGTTTGCTCATGAGAGATTCTGAAATGAGATTTTAGTGCATGTCCGGCAAGTAGACGACATCGGTTGAAAATTATATGAAAAACGGCGCTGGGATTAGCGTTCATCTTTAGGGGTCCATGTTCTAAAACACAGGGAATTTAGTTAAAGATTTTCTATGACTCTGAAACTAGGATAGACACTTATAAGATTAGCCAACTCTCGCCACCCTAATCATCTAATCACTTGTTCATGGCAATTAACTCTCGCTCTCATGCCATAACAAGATCATGCATTTCAGATCGGAATCCATCTTGGCTTACGTATACTCCGTAGGTAGATTTTGTCTCCTAAGACGGTAACGTCCATAAGATCCAGTTCATGCAGCTAAGATACAACACTCTCGTGACTCGGATTTAACCTAGGAGTGATCAATCCAGAGTTACTGCTTTGAGATTTGGATGAATGGGAGAATCATTTAAAAATTGAAATCCTTTAACCTAATAACCTAGATGTCATTCAAACATAGGATCCCCTTTGATGGTCCCTTCACTCAACTCGGTGACTACTCAGACATGGCTGAGCTTGACATCATCATCGGTTTAAGAACTAGAAAGTAGTAAAGTAAAGAAAAAAAAGTTGCAGAAAAACTTCTCTTATTGAAGACAGTGTATGGCGATGAAAAGCTTCTACAGATGCATAAAAATAAAACCTAAAGCTACAAATGAGTTCTCTCTCAAAGAGAAGAAAAAGGCTCTCTACAAAAGACCTAAAATTGAGTATTTATAGTGTTTCTTTAAGTTTGGGCGTCTAGGGCTTGTAAAATGGGTACAGGAAGTGTCTTGGGCCTTATTTGGGCTTTTGAGGTTCGGACATAGGTCCACCACGAGTGAAGGAGGCTGAGCCGCGGTGGGGAGAAGCTTGGCCGCGGGTGAAAGCTTCTGTTCTTGACTGAGCTGTGTTAATTTGCCTTCAGTGCATTGATGATGTCTAGAGATCTAACCGTTGGATTGCATTGATTCCAAGTGTGTTGGAAAGCTGGTTATCTCCTCTATAATATCTCCAAATTTCTAGATGATCAAACGGTGAGAAGGTCTTCTTTGGTGGCCAAACTTCTGATGGCCTGAATTTATCCAAAAGTGTACTTT